TATTTTAAAAATATAAAAATATACATACACAGTCTGTAATCTTATCAACAAAAGAATATTACGGTCTTGTTTGATAACATTTCTTACATTTTGCAGCATAAGTTTTGTTAATTGCGCCAATTTTAATTTTTCTAAAATTTAATTTTTGGTAGTGTAATGCACATATTTATGAAGATTAAATTCAAAAAGTCATTTGCAATTTTGTTTAAAATTTAATTTCTGAAAGTGATTTTATATATTTTAATAAAATTAAATTTCAGGCGTCATTTTAAAATCACTTTTAAAATTGAAATTCTCGAAGTATTTTTATATCTCTTAGAAATTAAATTGTAAAAACCAATTGCAAATTACTTCTAAAATTTAACTTTATATCTTTTGAAAATTAAATTCCAAAAATAATTTATAAATGACTTATAAAAATATTTTTAAAAATACATTAAATATGTTTTTAGAATTAAATTTCAAAAATGATGATAAAAGATAGTTTATTTTGTCAAGAAAAAGATGGTATAAATAATAAAACAATTATGCAAATAGCAATCGCCTCAGTAAAAAATCCATTGAGCCGAAAGGTCCAGCCCACTATGAAATAGCCTTCCTTGGGTCAGAAGGTGGGGGCAGACCAAAAACAATGTCAGAAGGTGCGACCAAAAATTTTCTGATCAATATTTTCATCCACGAGTCACCCATCGAGCTATTTTTACACATTTAAATCACATGCTTAGGGTTATTCCTCCTGAAATTAAGTGAAAAAAAATCAAATGAAAATTATATGAAACTAATACTTCCCAGATGAGCGTTAATATATCCTCTCAATAATATTTTTATGTATTTTATAATAAAGTAGGCATTAAATTAAAATGGGCACACTCCTATTATCTTGAAAACATAAAACATTTAAATTTTTTATTTAATAATTAAGAAAAATTATAAGAAAAAAAATATAGGATTTACAATTATTCTGATCGTATTAATACTAACATGTCTCGTGATTTTGTAACGCTTGAGGTGTTTGCTTAATGTAATGGGAAGGAATGAGTGACATTATTTTCTCAGAAAGTTAAACCATTGCAAAAAGTCCACTCAGTGTAAGATTGTGAAAGATTTCTGAAAGGGGCGTGCAACAGATAAATCATATCTTATAGACCAAAACAAACCAATATGAATCATAAAAGCCCGCATATATTCCACACAAGAATCATGATAAGAAAAAGGACAAGTAACATCCTTGTTAAGGGATGCTATTTCTTTCTTCTTTTTTGGTCATCAAAGATGCTGTTTCTGAAATGCCAAATTTGATTGCCAAATAAATATAGGCTAAATGACTAATGTTCCTATCCCTTTCCATTCCATTGCCCACCAGAAATAGACTGCTGTAGCCAATTTCAGATAAACATTAGAAAATATTAATGACAGAGAGGTTCTTAACATAAAGGATTTGGTTCTGGCAAACCAAAACACCGACATAAGTGGACTAAATGGTCAATATGCTATTGGGGTAAAATTTTGGAGGTTTTATTTTTTTTGTTGCCAAAATAAGAGAAATTCAAATATAATTTATCAAAATAAGCTTAAATAAAAACATATTTTCTATTTAAGGATATTTTTTCAACGTCACTTTAAGACTATTTTTTTAATAATAAATATCATATTTATATAAAACAGATACTTATTTTTTTAATATTAAAAAATAAATCTATTGAAATAGAGGCGTTTGAGGACTTCCCTACAGATGGAGGTAACTGGTGAACCTCTTATTAAAAAAATAAGATGGCAAAAATAACTTTATAGAGATATGTTTTTATTAAGTTTATCTGGGAAATCGTTTGTCAATTTCTCCTCTTTAAATAAAAACCAATTTTGGAACTAATATACGGAATTAGAATAATAAAAGGATGATCCTGTACACTAAACCTGAAACCTGATGAAGTTTAGAGAAGGCAAAACAGTCAAAGTATGTGCAGCTTTACCCTTGCAAGCAGGCTTTGACCTAGTGAAATTAGAGGAGGATGACTATACGTAGCCTTACTGCTACAAGTAGAGAAACTGTTGGTAAGATTAGACTAGAATCATCTACATCACAAGACAACAATTTTACTGTTGGGGCAAGGCTCGTCCTAAAGATATGGAAGTAATATTATTTCAAAAAGAACTTGGGAACTTCAGCGGTTCACTATAATTATACAATAAAATTCCTCACGATTTTTTCCAGTCATCTTGTTAAGCTACGACATAACAATTAGGCCCTCCTTTTCCTAATAGCTTAAATTCTACACGAACTCCTCATAAAGTTTGGACAAACATCAGTCTCCTTCACTATATTCAAAAAAAGATGCCCTTTCATAAATGTTCTTTACTTCTACTCGTCATAGGTGACAGGCATCCTGATTCCCTTCTTTTTTCTTGGATGCCATTATGATTATACAATTCAGAAGACAATGAATTAGAATTTCGTTAGCAGAAAGAATATAAATTATATTTAAAAGTTACTTATAAAATCTGGTTATTATGGTACATATTACTTGTGTACATACTTGGATATGCATAGCTAACAAACTAAACCCTAAAGTTGGAAAATGAAAGGTTACTATCTGCACCCTAGTTGTGAAATAAATAACATTGAATAACCAGCCTTGGAGGCTGGATTTATTAGGGAGATGCTCCTGAGTATCAGAATTTTGAGTAGCTCTACCTAGTAACCATCCACTTCCATCTTATGTTCCAATTCTGCTCCTTTACATCTGAACTAGGAAACAAGCTGTATATGATAGCTAGTTTATGCGTAGTAACTACCTAGCGATGTTTTGCAGATGGATGGTATAGAATTTGAGGTCGATGTCATATTGAAAGAATAAAATTGCTAAAGGGAAATACAGAATGCAAATGACAATTTTGACACTGCTGCATCCCCACCTCCCGGCTAGGTTTTATGACTAAAACTGTTAAATAAAGTTGCCAAAAACTGTCACCTCTTCTTATAGTGATCTAACTTGTAAACATTTTTTTATCACACCAAATCAGTAACCTAAACCTATTAGCCAGGCAGCTTTCTCCATACTCTGCATTTGAATTAAAATTCTCACCAATAAGATTGATGGGACTGAGGTCAGATCTTTTAAGAATTAGTGGGGAAACCGTAGCGCAACCACCTAAGTTACAATGGGGGGAGGACCCAACATAATTTAGAAACCATCAAGTACAATACGCACCTACCCTGTTCTATACTATGGAACTATTAAGAATTATACTTCCTGAGGATGTAAGCATATACAAGCACATGATTTTAGTTTCCACAAGCCCAGAGATCACTCAGATACTAACATCCAGGGATTTGAAAGTAAGACAGAATAAGAAACGCATGGAAGAATGGAATGTAGAAGTTTATTCTACGTGAAGAAACAAACAGCTGTTTTTTTCTGTTTGTTCCAGACATATTTTGTCCACGATTCCTAAAGATAATAATGAAGCAAGACAAAATCCTATCAAACATTTCAATACTACGTAACTATTCCCAAAGTTTAACTACACTTTAGTAGATATTAAAAACGGTGGATCCTCTCAGTGGAGGGCCAGGGAAAAGGGATGGGACAGGACATGGTCTGTTTCCTCTCTAGACCAGTTCCAATGACCAAATATCTTGTTCCTACATCCTGAAAAATCCTGCCTTTAACAGTTAAAAAGAAAATGAAAGTGTTTGTTCTTGAACATTTCATGTTATTTCAGGGTCAATTAAATGATGCGGTAACTACATATGATATTCAACCCACTTATTTTCCAGAGATTCATTCAGCAAAGGATGATAACATGTATAGGAATATTAAATGTTCATATCTAAACAATTCAGATATAAATTTGAAGACAATTACTTTGGTCATCAATTTCATATATGGTCCTATTTATAAGAAACAAATAACTCATTTATCAATATTAGTAAAGAATGGTTACATGTTAAAAATTTATACTATATTGTAAAAATACTTATTAAAGAGTGGAACTAATGACTTAAACATTAAGCAAATGATAAGTAAAGAGTAAGCGTCTCATTAATATAAATCTCACAGTAAACAAGAATATAAAAATAATTAACAAATAAAACATTTGAATTGTTACTTGTGACATAAAAAGGAAAATGACCTTGAGCCTAAGTTGATGATTGACTAATGTTGATATTTCTCCTCGTATTATAACAGCTTATGTCCAGTTGTTGAAGAGGCTAAAGCCAATTCATGCTTGTATAGCTAGAAATATTGCTTATTCTCCGTATTCAGTCTAAACTTGAAGAACATGGAAAACATGCAACTGTAAAGACCAAATTGAATCACCCTTCAATTTTCTACAAATCTATACAAAGCTACTGATGAACTGATGCTTTTATATCTTATGCCAAAACTTCAAATCTAATGCTGAAATTCAAGGGATTGAGAAATAGTCTATGTATCTTAAATGCAAAACTTCTAATATACAATAGCTGAAAACTTTTGTAGTCCAATACAAGAAAGAAAATGTCTCGTTTCTAGGCGTAGTGGAGTGGGTAATTAGAATGAGCAATGAATCACCAATGGGAATCAGAGCTATCCTACCTAATTCTAATTCCACATTAGTTTTGTAAGCAACTTTACTGTACGAAACAGAAAACTTGGGATGGAAGGATTCGAGAACCGCTTAATCTTTTATTTGGGCGATTGGATTATTCAAACCAAGAATCAAACTCACTCCAAAGGTTAAGCTATTCTGGATCCAATATGATACGAAAATTTAATAAAATCCTTAGTCAACCATTCAAAATCCAGCAGAAACCCATAGAAAATCCAATGGCATTAAAGTGATAGAACCTACAAAGATGACTTTCACTTTTTGCTAGATCAAAGCATTCATTTATTATTCACACATATATTTCAACTTTCACTTCAACAGAAGGTCATTATCTAATGTCTAGGAAAGCAAAACCTAAAATTTAGAAAGGAAATAACAAAACATAAAAGAAAAAACAATACATTAACGGAGAATCTATACACAAGTCATGTTTGTTGGTATGCAGACTCCAGAAACACAAGATTCTACAAATCACTTAAAAATTGCATTGACAAACTAATGATAAAAATAATACAATTACATCACAGTTCAGAATCGTGCTACTAACAAAAATTAAAAAGCACAAACAATAACCGATTTAAAACACAACATTACCATTACCAATATCCAATCATAAACCCTAACTCCTCAAGGCACAGCATTGACCCTCCCTTCAAACACAAACCCACGGTAGAGTCCATCAGCATTCCCCGGCAAGTTATCAATCCACCGCCACTCTTCCCCCTTCGCGGCACGGCGGTCCCAGAGCGCCAATTTCCCAATCCTCTTCGCCGAGAAGCAAACCCTATCACCAGCGCCAAATACCTTAAACTTACTAGACTCCTGGAAGCAACGGAACATCTCCGGCGGCATTCGCGCCGCCTCATCCCACTCGAGAGAATCAAGGTTGAGTCGGAGAACAAGGATCGTCGAGCAAGGCGAGTTCAGCGAGAACGACGATTTAAGCCCGCCAACCATAAGAATTCTGTTACCATGGCCGCGGACAAGCCGCGGCCGCTTCAGGATGTCAAAGACATCGCCCCACTCGTGCCGCTCGAGCCGCGACCAAGCAGTGGCGGCTCCGGCGCGGCACGAGTAGAGCTTCCACTGGCTCCGCCACGGCGAGCCGACGTCGCAGAGAGCGAACGCGGAGTCGCCGATGAGAAGCGGGCTGCGGGGTTTAGAAGGGAGATTGGAGGAGAATTTGAGCCAGTGAGAGGAGTTGTTGCAGTAAAGCGCGGCGAGTTCGGTGAGGACCATGACTCGGTTAGCCGAGTCGACGAGAACAGAGCCATGGCGTGACCAAGCGGAGCCGAGGTGGGGGAGGATGCGGAATTGGCGGGTTAAGGGGTTGCAAGAGATGAGTGATTTGGGGGAATTGGGCCGAGGGGGATTGGGCTGGGCCCAAAGGTAGAGAAGGCCGTGGGAGGAGGCGACAGGGAGAGGGGAATGGAAGGGGAGAAAGTGAAGGGGGAAGTGGAGCCACGTGTTGAGTTCTGGGTCGAAGAGGTGTAAGGGGTGGCTGTGAGGGTGGTGGTGGCGGAGTGCGAGGAGGTGTAGCGGAGGGTGTGTGGCGGCGAGAAGGTGGAGAAACGACGGTGTTGAGAGGAGGTGGTGGAAGAATTTCGAAAGGGTTCTGCAGAGGATGATTTGGCGCAGTGGCAGTGTTGAGAAGATCTGGTGCAGCGTGTCGTGTGGGAGGCGGTAGATCGGTGGTTCTTCCTCCATTGAAGTCAAAAATTTTTAGACGATGATGACTCTTCTTTGTTCCAACTTCTAAGGCTAACCTCCCTTCTTTGGATGTGAATGACTTTTCTATGTCAGTGAATCTTACTGTTTCAGCTTCACACGCTTCAAATGGATGCCCACAAAAGTATATCAATGACAATAACAATGGTTTGCTTCCGTATTCTTTTTTTTAATTTAATTTATTTAATTGTGAATTATTGTATAAGGAATAATTTTTTATTTCAAGAAGTTGATTCTGATTATTATCATTTTTTAAATATTTTCTGTATAACATTTTTTCTTGAAAAATCATTCACGTTAATTGTTTATGTATGATACCAATTTTTTTATATTTTTTCATATTTATTTTTCAATAACATTTCTTTATTTGTTTTATGTACGTGTTTCCTCACTTTCCTATTTTCACATTTATTTTTTTATATTATTATTTTTATATTTTTCTAAAAATTAAATAAGAAATACAATTATTTTTAAAAAATAAAAATATTACTTTATATATATATATATATATATATATATATATATCTTCAATAGAGAAAAAAAAACATATATTAATATAAAATCAATTTAATATTTTATTTAGATTTAAATTTATCCTTAAAAATTTAATCAAATTAATATTGGAATAAAAATTATTTAATTTAATAATTTTTTACATTAACAATACTTAAGTTTTATTTATGTAAATAATATCAGTAAAGTAAAACGCTTGGAAGATTTAATAAATGTTTTTTTTAAATATCATTTATTATCATGTGTATATATATATATATAATACAAAATCATGATGAAAATAAAATAATAAAATATAAAAAATATATGAACGTTATTTTGAATAAAAAATATTTTATTTATTTTATAAAATATAATTTTAAATTTTTGTAATTTATTAATAATATAATTTTTAAAGTAAAATTAATTTGTAAGAAAATTCATATACTTTAATATCAAAATTATAGGATTATTTTTACACAAAAAATATTTTTTATACTTTAAAATTAGAAGAAATTTTGATATTAAATAGAACCAAAAAATAGAAATATAATTTAAAAATTATATTAAATAGAAGAAATTTTGTTATTTAAATATAATTATATTTTATTTTATTAGTTCTAATTTTTCTTAAATATTAGATAAGATAATATAATGTTATTTACTTTATCATATTATTGGACATCAAACATAGAATATTTAATAATAATACATATAAAATAGGTATAATGTTATTTAAACATAAAAATAATAATATAATAAAAATATATTTATGTGGTTGAATTGACTTTATTATTATAAAAAATTAATTACTTAATTTTTTATGCAAATCATATATATATATATATATATATATATATATATATATATATATATATATTTGAACTTAACTGTAAAGTCAACCATAAACAAATTCTATTTATTATTTGTATGTATTATATGCATAATATTTAATTTTAAAAATATTATTATGCCAACCGAAAAATATTGTGAATTAAACATTTGGATAATTATGAGTTGAAAAGATATTATTAAATACTATAAATTGTTTATTATGGTAATAACTATTAGTGAATATAAAATAATATTTTATTCAATTAAAATTTAATAAAAAGTAAAAAATATATAGTTTAAAATTGTTGAGCAGAATAGAATAAAATAAAAATTATTTATCGACATTGGAATCATATATAATTTATTATATTTGATATATTTTTATTGAACACGATTATGAACCTAGATGATATATTACAGATCAATTTTTTTAGGATAGATAAATATAGTTTATGTCCAACAAGTTCAAACAAAGAAGTAAGCTTAAATATTGCTTCAATTATTGAAATGCATTAGTATTCAGAAAAATATGTTTAGCAAATTGTATCAAAATGTATTAATTGGGAAAGATCTGTTCAACAAGCTCTTCCCTTGTGTAGCCAAATGATCAACAGAGACGTTTCAAAACATTTAAAATTATGAAAATTTATAAGATAAAAAAAAATATTACAATATAGTACGAAAAAAAGAATGATCTCAGAAAATTATTAAAAAATATTAAAAATTGAAAGTATCAAATTTTATAGTGTCGTAATTCAGTCTCTCTTTTTTTGATATATTTTGTCACCTTTAGTTGAAACTTCATGGTTGAGATTGAGACAATCTGGTAGAAGTTTTGAGAATTTAAGAGAAGGTCATAGAGTGAGAGGAGCTATTTCTCATTAATGATAAGTGTCAAATGTAAGTGTAGTGATGTATGTAGTTGAGGCATCCTAACAGACCAGTAGACTTGAACCTTGTTCCTACATAATCCGATTAGACACTCGTCATCTATTTTCATTATTCAACTTTTTGACAATATAAAAGAACCAAAAGCTCTGCCCTCTTTCTATCTATCCAAGGGATGGAAGGACAGAGGCCTTTCATGTTCCCTCTAGTTAAGAATTAGGGCCTCACAATAAATAACCAATATGTTTGCTTTTATCTCATGTCTTTCTTCTTTCATGGTTCGATATTCTGGTGTCTTAGGCATAGAGGAACCAAACCAATTTGTCCCGAACTTGGTGGTTAAACTGTACTTTAGAGAAAATATTGTAGAGAAGGTCCTACAGAAAAATAACTCGGCATTAGGATGATAAAAAGACTTAACACCTCTCATTCTTATTACTTTTTCATATTGAAAAAGTAATAAGAATGAAAAATGAAAGAAAAGATTGTCTTATTCAAAACTCCAATTATGAAATCTCTTCTCTCCCACTTCACACCTCGGAATGCACCGTTCTTATAGAGAGAGAGGAACTTTCACATCTTCTTAAGTCAAAATGGCTAGGGAAAGGAAAGGTTCCTATTTTTTAGGGTACTCCGAGGAACAGATATCAACTACTGACGACAAGGATGGGGCCTGTAGCTCAGAGGATTAGAGCATGTGGCTACGAACCACAATGTGTCGGTGTCAAGGGTTTAAATCCCTCCTCGCCCACAATCGTCAAAAGGAGAAAGACCTTTCATTCGAAATTCTTAATTTGAAATGAATCAAATCTTCCTAAGTAGGATTCTATCTGTAATTGAACTCCTAAAACACACTATTTTATTAAATCATTTACAGACGAATTTTTCTATCTGTAATATATAAAATCCATCAAAATTGTGCCTACTCTTTCTTTTTCTCACTTTCCATTATTTCTTCTTTCTCTCATCTCCCTATCTTTTTCTCTCTCTAGCATTATCAGTTTTTTGGCCTTTGCAAGTGGTTGGAGCAATCATTTGAAAAATAATTTGCATCATTGTGTTCTAGATACGATACTCTAACTTTTAATCTGTTTAGTTTTTTAATTTTTGATGTATAATAGAGACTTAAAATTTCTAAGATAGAGTTGTAAGACTAGAGATTGTATGGCTGGAGAGATGGGCGTAGATGTCCTTCCTTGAACCTAATTACTGTGTGTTGTGGGGTTGTTTGTGCTTTTAGAGATTGTATAATATGCATGTTGTGGAGTTATAAGGGGATGTACTCTAGAATAGTTTAGGATTGTGTGTATATATTTTTTATGCATTGATTAATAATAGATTGTTATATAATATATAGCTTATGTGTAAAAGAAATTTAGATTTTTGTATTAAGTACGTGTAAAGAACAAGACAACAAAATATTCATATATTAAGGGAGATTTTGCCAAAATTTACATTAAAAATTTGTTGTATTAAGTATAAATAAATATAAGAAAATATTCATATATTATGAGAGATTCTGTCAAAATTTATATTAGAAATTTGTTCTATTAAGTATAAACAAATATAAGGATAAGACAAATATACATTGAAGCATGTCAGGATCCATCATCTACTGATTGGATAGCACCCAACTTCCTTCATGTCGTGCAAGAGTATTGGGGTATAAATGAGTTTAAAAATCTCTCTGTAAAGAATAAGACAAATAGGGCATCCTTAAAAGGAGGATAATTGCATCTTGGTAGCTCTACGACTTTGGCTGGCACTATATGGTCTGAGACAGTAGGTGGTCTTTATAAAGGCTGCATTTACGGCATGGGGAACTGCTTTGCAAACTCCATGTCCCATGCATCTGTCAACAAAGATGCCTCTTCTCTTGCACCTGAAGAAGTGAAGGACATGGTCCGCACTTAATTCCATGTCCAAAATGAAGAAGTGTAGAAGCAAAATGAGGAGATGTGGAAGACCAAAAAAAGTGCATAGAAGAAGAAGTGAGCGAAGAAATTGGAGAAGAAGATAGAGAAGAAGGTGGGCTCGAGGATGTAAAGGGAGGTGTAACAGCAGATGCAACAACAGCATATGTAGATGCATGCATACTTTAAACTTGTGAGAGCAAGCAGCTCTACACCTCTTTCTCCTCCTTCACTAGCTCCAACACCACCAATCTTTAGCTTCATACGTCATTTCTCTTCCGACTATTGATGGTGATACTTTTTTAGAAAATGATCACACCGATTATTAATGATATATAATGTTATTTTATTTTGAGATTATTTATTGAGATGTTTACTTCTTCATTTGTAATGATATTTTAATTTTACATTTTATAAATAATTTCTAATTTTAAATATATAACTTTGTAGTTTTTATTATATTTATAATTTATGATAATTAGGAATAACGATGAATAATTATGTATATAAAAAATAAAAAAAATTAAAATTTTACAAATGAATTACAAACAAATTTTTTTATTTGTGATTTACAGATATATTTTTTTATTTATAATTATAGATGAATTTTTTCATATGCAATTATTTATTGACGCACATATTACAGACAGACTGGAACCGTCTATAAATCTGTTTATAATGCTAAAATTTGTTTATAATAATTAAAAAATCTATCTATAAATTCGTCTATATTTATAAGTTTTTTAGTAGTGATTGGATAAACTTCATACAATAATTGTCATAGTTCTACCATATCTTTTATTTTAGTTCTCCAACAATAATTACAAAAAAATTTTGAATTATGGATACAAGAATCCAAATTCAATATATAATTTTAGTGTTCAAAGAATATTCTTTAATAATATTATTTTTTAGTTATTAAATCCTTTCTTTTTACTAAGTTTGGTATTGATAAGATTAATTAACATTTGTTTGTTTTGATGCAACAATAAAATCTTATTTGTGACAAGTAGTTTTGTTGGTTGGTTAATTGGTCACATTTTATTGATCAAAATAATTGAATTAATATTAGTCTAGCTACAACAAAATAATTCAATTTAGTCTAATTTATCTATTTGATCAGATAGATACATTATGTTAGAATTTTAAAATTTTATGTCCAAATTTTTTCTTAATTTTTATTTATTATCTTTTTATATTATTTAAGAAGAATATCCCTTCCTTTTTTTTTTAAGAAACTGTTAGAAATTCAAGAAAAAAATAAAATTAAAAAAATGTATGTAGAAAAAAATTTACAAAAAACATGAACTAGACAAAAATAAAAAAATCTACCAAAAATAATTTTTTCCTTATATTTTCTCTAAAAAAGAGAAGAATTTGTACAAGATTAACAAAAAAAAAATAGCTTTGGATTTCTTTAAAAATTTCTTATAAACATTTTTTTAATTACAAACAATAAAATTGTCTATTTCGATATATATATATATATATATATATATATATATATATATATAATGATTGATTTGAAAATGTCATAAGAAATGAAATTTTAGATTTTTTTTTTCATCACGTCAAAGTGATTGAAAAGAAAGAATTATTTGTGAGAATAAAAAAAATACTAGATAAACAATTAATTAATAAAAATAGAATTAAATAACTTTAAGAAAAGAAAACATAATTAAACTGGATTAGATAATATTAAGTTAAATAAGACTAGTAAATATCACTATTTTGGAACCACTTTTACTTCTATATACAAAGATACTTGAATATATTACAACATTTATTTAACGGATGTTCTGAATTTGTTTACAATCATTTATCATAAATGCATATACCTTTTATCATATAGTTTAGAGTTTATTTATAAAAAAAAAAATTTGTTAAAAAATTGAATTGTTAAACTATATCCTTTTTAATCATTTATATATGAATTCACTATTATTATCCAAATAAATATATACAATGTCCATTATGTTCATATACTGCGTAAAACTAATCATTACGTGAATATATTAGTTTATATAGCTCATAATTGTATTATTTTAAATAATTTTTTCTATTAATTTTTCTTTTTAGGTAGAATGTTAGGAGAATTGGAATTTCTATGCTATGTAATTAGTTTATGTGTTTTTTATAAAAATATTAACTGAATTAGTTCTAATTAATTTAACTTTAACCCATGTATGTGAGTTAAAGCTAAAAAAATATACAAGATCAAAAAGTTTATAATATAAAAAATCTGTAGGTTAAAACTAATATACGAGCTAATTACTTTTAAAAAATATTATAATTTATTAAAAATATTTATTTTATATAATATATTATTTTATTATTGATAAATAAAATTGTTTAAAAAATAGATAAAGAATAATAAAATTTGTATAATATTAAATAAATTATTGTTACTAAATAATATTAAATAAAATATAATAATTTATTATTAAATTAAGTTACATATTTATCTAATTTTTATCTATATTATTAATAATTATTAAATCATAATAGCATTTTTCATTCATATAATTTTATAAATAATTTCTTAGTATATTATTTTATAATTTTATTTTAGTATTAATCATAAAAAATTTTACATTTTAATATTTTTATATTATTTTTTATTTTTTATAAAATTATTTTAAAAATATCATATATTTAATAAATATTTTTAAAGTCACATTAGACACACAATATTAACAATAAAAAATAGTAATAGCTAAATTTATTAAATTATTTGTTATCAATATATTCAAAATAATTTATTTAAATAAAATTTAATATGTTAAAATTAAATAAATGTGACATTGTCATGATAAAAATCGTACATATATTATACATAAGGCTTGTTCGGTAGCCAAGATAAGATATGAGCATAATAAATTTTTATTATATCAAATATTTAATGCACACTTGATAGAGATAAAGATATGACATAAATATGAAAAAAATAATAAAATTAACTTTTTGTTTACATTTACTAAATTAAATTTTAACTTTTTACTTTGTATAAGTTATTTATTTTCAATTTATAGAAAATATATAAATAATTTAATATATTTTAAAAATTAAAAATATATAATAAAATTAATATATTTTTAAAAATATATAAAAGTAGAGAGGAGAGAAAAAAGAGAGATAATAAAATAAATTAAGAATATTTTATAAAAGACAATTGTTATTTTTTCTTTCCTCATCTAACCTAACTATATTCTAAGCATAACAAATACAACAGTCTAATATAATATAATATATAATAGCATAAATTAACTCTATTATTATAATTCAACAAACACTTGATTAAGAATACATATTATATATTATCCTATCTTACCTACTATTATTTTGACCATTAAACAAGCTCTTAATATCGCAAAATTCATAAATATAGAAAAGTAATTTATGAATTTAGTAAATATTAATGAATATTTATAAATTTAAATTTTTTTCTCGTCTTAATTTAAAAATTTATTTTTAAAGTGAAATAATTTAATTTGACAAAATTGATAGATTTTTTTAAATATTTTTTTATATTTAAAATATAATTTTTAATTAATTTTAAATAAAATAATTTAATCAAAATGATAAATAAATACACGTGTCTTATAATAAAAAAAATAGCTTAATATTAATTAATTACTCTCTAAAAAATAAACTAACTCACCTCTAACTTTAACCATGACCCACCTTTATTTATTTGTTTGAAAAGTATTGATAAAAAGATTGAAAGAAAATTAAAATATATAATTTATATATTTAATAAAAAATTAATATTTATTTACATGACGTCATGACCAATAGATATTTAATACAATATTTAATTTTGTTTGGACAAAATAAACTTAGAGATGTTCTCCAATCAAAATTAATATTTCTCTTCGATAATTCAGATAACAAAACTAGTATTAGAGGAATAAGTCATTGAAGTAAAAAGCAATTTTCAATTGAAAAATAAAAAAAAACATATACTTAAGAAGTTATAATTAATTTTAACATCTATACGATAAATAGAATTAAAAAAAGACTCCAAACTGGTCAAAACTTATAGTAATTATGTTGTTAAAAATTTAAGAATCATTAATAATGCAATTAAAAATATGTTACTGATTGTCACGTGTCAAAGGCATGTATGTAATGTACAACCTGAACTTATTTACTTACAACCGCTTATAAATGGATGCTACTAGAGCTTTACTTCCCCATAACATTAAACAAACACATACTTCCAAATCAACAAGTACACAGAATAATGAAGACAATTAACTCATGGCTTACCCTCTTGTTCCTTCTCTTTGCCTCTACCAAAAAGTTGAAGTTTGCCATTGCTAGTGGTGTGCATGACACAGATGGTAGCATGGTAGAAAATGGAGGTGACTACTACATCTTGCCTAGTTTGAAAGGAGAGGGTGGTGGTGGAGTTACACTTGCTAGCATTGGGGTGACACACCCACTTGCAATTGTTCAATCTCCAGTGAACTCTCTTGGCTTGCCAGTGTCAATTTCAAATATTAATGGAACAATGATAATCCTCACAGATGACATTTTAAGCATCAATTTCACTAATTCTTCACATTGTAACAATTCATGCACTTGGATGCTTGTTATGGATGACTCAGCCAAAGTGTGGTATCTGGGTATTGGTAGTGCTGTAGATTACCCAAGTCATCAAATTAAGATGGGAAGGTTCCAAATTAAGGAGTTTAATTTGGATTATAAGCTTGTTTTCTGTAGTGATAGTAACACCCCTTCTTGTGAAGATGTTGGGATATACATAGATAGTGGTAAAAATAGACGTTTAGCACTCTCTGGAGCAGCATTCTCAGTTAGGTTAAAAAACGCAGATAAATATCCTGCAGCATTTGATTGAGTGTTATGCTTTTGTTATTACTGAGCTTAGATAATCAAATTATAATGTTTAGGTATAAAAATTTTACTTTATATGTTTTGAGATATAAATAAAAGTTTCAAATGATAAGGAAATTATTAAACATTTTTATTGTTCTTGTTAATATAGAAGACACTATAAATTTTTTGAAATATTTTATTATTATAATTATTTATTTGGCACTAATTAATAATAAATAAAGTTGGTAATAAAAAACTAAATTGAAATCAATAAGAGATAGACATATACAATGAACCTAGGTTTAATAATAATAATAAACATTAATGAGTCAGATTTATTTATATTAATTTATTAAATTTAAACACTTACACATTTTAATAATTTTTTATATAATATAAAATTCAAATTAATTTAAAAGTTCTTATCAAATAAATTAACTTTATAAAATTTTATTAAAAATAATAATAATAATATTTTGTTTCATTACTTTATTTTAACATATAATATATTTTTAAAATTTTTAAAAATACATACAAATATATAAATTATGTGAAATTTATCATTTATGATTATAAAAATAATATATAATTCAGCCGTCAAAGTAGCTAATTTTATATTTTATGAAAAGTTATTAAAATATGTAATTAAAGTTTGATACTAGTGTTAATAGAGACTTTTTTATTTAAATATTGTAAATTAAAAACTATTTCTTAAATTATAGATTTTTTTAAACTAATTCTCTGTCTGGAGTAAATTTGTCACGTCGGTGTGGTGTTTCACCAAAGCAGCTGGCGAAAATAATAATTTAAAAAAAAATGGTTTTGCCACAAGAAGAGCGAAAATATAAAATCGTTACACGTGTATGCATCAGGATATTTTCGCATTTCTGATGGCAAAAATAGCAGGGACTTTTGCTACGTGCAGGGCGAAACTTGTTGTTTCGTCGTTGAATTGGCAAAACTGGTGTTTCGTCATTAAATTGGTGAAACTTACACTAATTTTTGCATTTGCAGGGCGAAACTTGCATACATATGTATTCCCGTTTTCAGCAACTTCTTTCATTCATATCCTTTTCAATCAATAGGAAAATGCGGGTTTGGCACACTTGAACTAGGACTTCGATTGGAGACCAACTTAGACTACTGGTTTCGCCTTGATTTGGTACATTCTTATCTACTTGAGTTGAGCCTTTCGTTGAGCAGTTGAGCAACCAGCCCTGTTCAATATTTGCACCCTTCTCGAGCTACATACACACCACTTTCATACTGCAAGATTTTTGTCGAGTAACACATTTGAAAGAAAACAGGTTAGATTTATATTTTTTTTCTTCTTCATTTCATGTAAATTTATGAATGTAGTTATTGTGTATTTTATTTTAATTAAATAAATTGATTAATAAAGAAGTAATATTATTTTGTTGATATTAATTAAAAAAAATTAGATATTAATTAAATTTTATTTGTAAAAATGCAGGATGAGTGGACATATTGTAATGATACATTGGAATGGTAGAATCTATGAAGGGAATGAAGGTGTGAGTTTTGAAGGAAGAAAGAAAATGATTCAGATAAAGCAAGGAATAAGTTTTGAGGCCTTAAAAAGAAAAATTCATTTGAAACTTAATCTTGATCGTAATGAAGTTATTTCTAGATCAATTTCACGTTTTATGATTGATAGAAATAATAGACAGTATACAGCTTTGGATATTTGTGATGATGAATATATTGATTGTATGATAAGTGCATTTCAACAATAATCTGGTAGAAGTGTTATAGAGTTGTATGTGGATATTGCTATTGGTGAGAGCTCATCAGTGCCGTCGCAAATGATGAATTTAAATTTATCACTTTCACAGCAAAATAATGGGACGATTTTGAGTAATGATTACTATGAAGGTAATATGAATTACTTTATAAAATAATGTATTAATATATTTATTTGTTAGATAATAATTTATATATTTGTTGCAATAAATAAAGGAATTAGCATTGAAGTTAATGAAGATAATGAAGACTCAGATTATAATAGTTACAATGATAAAAGTGATAAAAGAGAAATTTCACTAGACAGTTCTTCTTCTACTGATGTTGAAGGCGAGTTTGATTCCAACTTAAATATACAAGAAAACAGATTAGGTGGAGGTAATATGTACTATTGTTTTATTTTTTTTATTTTTTTCATTAAATATGTTGATAATAATCTTACAAATTTTTGCAAATTATGATGCAGAAGATACTATAATTTCTTTTTGGAATACTACTCCACAATATAAGTATATTAATTGGGAACATCCTGATGAAGAGATGACTGAAGAAAACTCTCAAGATGTAAATTCATGGTTGAAGGAGATCCCTTATCCGTTGGCTTGTTATTTGATGGTAAAGAAGATGTGAAAAATGCATTAAAACATTACGCAATGAAGATTCATCAAAGTTATTTTGTGGCTGAGTCTAAACTAACATGTTTGTATGTGAAATGCTTGAACCATACCTCTGGTTGTCCATGGAGAGTGAGGGCTTCATTGCTGAAGAATTCAAACAAGTGAAAAATTACTAGATGGGGCGGTTCACATACATGTGTCAATCTTAGAATTTCTCAAGATCATCAAAAGTTAGATTCGGACTTGATATGTTCATGCATCGTTGGTAAGACAAATGTTTTCTATATGTTCATAATTTTATGTTTTAATATCTATATACAATTTGAATTGTTTTTAACTAAATCAATTTAATTTCATTTAAGAATATTGGATAACTAGTAGTTTAGAATTTCGGGATTTGTTTCAAATAGTTAGTAATTTGATTTATAAAAATGAAGTTAATATTTTTTTTCTTACTTTATTAGCCCTCTTGTTATTTTGTGGCTCAGTTGCTAAATCTGTTCAATTTTCCCTTCATGTATGGAAGGACCTACTATGGTAGCGGTGGGAATTTTTCTTGTAGCTCGACTTCTTCCTCTTTTCATAGTTCTACCTTACATAATGAATGGAATAGCTTTTATAGGTATAATAACAGTAGGCTTAGGAGCTACTTTAGCTATTGCTCAAAATGCCATTATTAAAGTTTTTGGTGACTGGGATGACTCATACGGTATGTTGCCACATTGGTTATAATACATGCAATTACATGCTTCTAGATCCGTTTATAAAATTGAAACGAAAGAGTATGTGGTTAGTCATCAAATAGATAACAGGTTTAGAGTATTTGAAAGGTTGTTTTGGTCTTTCAAACAATGTCATGAAGCTTTTAAATTCTGTAAACCTATTTTACAATAGATGGGACATTCTTATATGGTAAGTATCGTCACACGTTGCTCATTGCAACAACTCAAGATGGAAACAATTGTGTCCTTCCAGTAGCATTTGCAATTGTTGAAGGAGAAACTTTATCAGCTTGGGAATAGTTTTTGGCATTGATTCGTTTACATGTTACAGATAGAACATAAATTTGTTTGATATGAGATAGGCATCAAAGTATAAAAGCGGCAGTGTCAAATCTACACATTGGGTGGCAACCTCCAAATGGATATCATGTATATTGCATTCGTCATATTGCCAGCAACTTTAATCATCGGTTTAAAAATATACCATTGAAGAAAGAGCTCATCAAATTGGTTATATATTATTTTTTTTTACATATATTATGTTAATATTATTTACCAACTGAATTACACTCACCTAATGTGGTTGATAAATTGAATGTTGTATATGTAGGTTATACACCATCGAAGGTCATATTTTAGTAAAAGTTAACCACATTTCGTAATAAATCTGAAGATATACAGAGATGGATTGATTGCATATCAAAAGAGAAATGAACATTATCTTATGATGAGGAAGGGCAACGTTATGGACACATGACCACAAATCTTTCAGAAGCTGTGAATAAGGTATTGAAAGGTGCTAGAAATCTACCCATAACTGCATTGGTAAAAGCCACGTATGGACGGTTGGTCAAATATTTTGTTAAGCGTGGAGAAGAGGCTATGTCTGACCTTCATAATAGACATTATCTGATTTCCTTGTGATTACCAATCATTCATACGAATACTATTAATACCCAATAGTCATGCAATATTAATATTCTTTTCTCTAAATTAACATCCCCAATGGTCATGCAAGACATCAATTTAAGAAAGCTTAAGGAACCTATGAACCTGTTAATTTAATAACGATTAGAAGAGAAAGATTGGTTTGGTCCACCTAATCCTTTGTCTCATTTTACCCTATAGATCTATTAATTAACCAAGGTATGGTTGCCTGACGATATAATTAATTAGGATTAAGAGAGAAGTGTATTAGGATAAAATCTAATTACGAAAATGGAAATCAAATTTAGATTCAAACATCGAAATCCCATAAATTCATGAACAATAGTTTCCATAGTCCTAGTGTTTGGGATAAAGAAAATTTTCTAAGTTTAAAATCATCTTGAAGGAAATTACATTTCGACAAAATTTTGAGGGTCAAGAAGGAGCCAAAAATAAGCCTGAACATAAGAGAATATTGGAAGATTATCTAAGACCTTTAGTTTTAATTAAAAGGGACACATTTCGAGCTATTTTAGGAGATTTTTGTCACATTGTTGATTTTTCTCAAAATTGCTTGAAAGACAAAAAAAATATTCTAAGTCCACAAAACTGAAGGCTTTTTCGAGGAGTTTTGAGGAGTTTTCAAGTCACTGACACCCAAAACTACTCGAAAAATAGAACTGGCAAGAAAATATTCTAAGTCCACAAAACTGATAGCTTTTCGAGGAGTTTTCAAGTTCCTAACACTCAAAAACTGCTCGAAAAACAGGACTAATAGGAAAATATTCTAAGTCCACAAAAACTGATGGCTTTTCGAGGAGTTTTGAGGAGTTTTCAAGTCCCCGACACCCAAAACTGCTCGAAAAATAGGAAGTGGTCAGAAAATATTCTAAGTCCACAAACTTGGCTGAGCTCCAGATTTCCTCCAGAATTGCTCGAAAAATAAGAAGTGGTCAGAAAAGATTCTAAGTCCACAAACCTGGTTGAGCTTT